TGGTGCAGAGACCTGAACCCCTGGATGAGACGGGCTCTGGAGTTTGCCTAGTGATGCAAGCTTAGCTTGTTGGTGTTTCACTGTTCACTCCAATGTTTTGTATCTCAGTTCACACAGGTACTGGTTTGTTTTTTTGCTCAATCAGCAGCAGTAGCAAACAGTGGTCATGTAGAATGGTGGGGAGTGAGAAGAACTCCAGTTAATTCCCCTTTGTTGATTAACTTCCACTGTAGATTGTGTCTGCTGGAAGCATATTGGGCTGCTTTCATTATTTGTACTGGCTTTTTTCTCTTGTCTGAAACAGCAATCTTATCTGTTTCTAATGCTGACCACTCTAGATAGATAGTTTAAGGCTTTGAACACTGTTACCAGAGCATTTTAAGAAATCCAAAATGATACTTAATAACACAACCTTATTAACTGTTGATGAAACCTTTTAAAGTCCAGCAAAACTGCCATTTGCCAGCTTTGTACTGTGATGTGCTTTGATGCAGGCATCTTTCTTCCACATGAGCTCCTCTGGGAGTTTCTTAGCTCTTTTTATGTGAAGGAATTAACTGACATGAAAATAAGGGAGTAGAGCTGCATCAGGAGTTCCTGGTTTAAATGGGAAAAATCTCTGTATAGGGAGCACATCAGTTACAGCATATTAACTTGCATAGGAAGGTAAAATTGTAGAAATGAAGGGCATGAATTCCACGTAGGAGAAACTGATTACAGTGTTGGAAGCAGCATAACAGCTCTGATAGTATCTTAATCAGTTAAACCTGTAATTAAAAGCATGGGGGGGGAACTGTTTTGGTGCTCTGTAAAATGCACCAATTTGTTGAGACTCATTTGCTGTTCCTGCTTACGTAGCACACCGACAGCCAGCGGAGCACGTGGGGCTGCTGCAGGGCTGTTCCCTGTCTGCTGTGCAATATTCCAGTCAAACGGAACTGTGATGCACTGTAGTGATCTTGTGGGCTTTCGGATGGACTGCTGCTTCTGTTGGAACACAAGTTAAAAATACAGATATAAAAAGCAGAGAACAAAGACACCAGGATGATATAAGAGCGAACTGTGGCCCGTTTGGAATGGGCTCCAACTTCAAAAATTGTGCTTGTCTTTGTTAGTACCGCCGTTTTTATTGACAGAAGATAATTGAAATCCCAGCGTGCTTTAGGAAATGAAATTTGTGTTGTTCCAGCCTGAGAGACTTGGTGATGTCTGAATCTTTGGCTTCCCACCTTGAGTCCTGTAGTCTCTGGTTGTCCTGAGAACCTGAACGCTGCAGTGTGTGTTAGAGATGCTTGTAGTACATGGGCAGTAATAGAAACGAGATGGAGACTGGAGTTTTTCTAATTGTGGGCAGCCAATGGTCAGTTGACTTTTTTTCCAGTTTTCTCACCAAATTACTACACACAACCAACTAGCTAGCTGTTCTTTGACCCTATTAATTTTGTGGATGCTGATGGGTTCTGTGGACTTAAATCTAAATTTAATACACCATTTGCATAAATGGCTCTACTTTACATAACTGTACTTTAGAAATTCAGTGCCTAGCATTGATTTTCTGCCAAGTAGGAGCGCTGTAACAGATGGTGGAATTTTCCACCAGCCAGGTGATAACCACTGTAAAGGAGGTATTTGTCTTCCCCTAAGTCTCCTGGCTTAAGGAGTGGCATCACACTGCAGAATTGTTCTGATCCATTTGCTATAATTTGAGTTATTCTCTGCTTTACGTATATGGGGTAATGTGAATGTGTGTTTCTGGGTGGACTTTAAATCATCAAATTTTCAGCTTTTCCTGTTAACACCCTTTCATTTCAATTGACAAAAATGTGTGGATAAGCTTCCATCAGAAGTAATACAGTGATAGCCCAGACATTTGGTCCTGTCAGTTCTGTGCAGTATGAAACATTTCTCATTATTGTTGGTCAAGGAATAGAGGAACAGTGAAAATCACTTGCAGTAGTAGGCAGCAAATAATATCTGGAGGTGCTTGGCTTGTATCGTTCAGGTTGTGCTGCTGGCTGGAGATCAGGAACAGATGGCTGCTGGCAGAATAGCAGCAGGTGCAGCAGGAGTGAAAACAGATTGCAGTCCTCTGGTCAGATCATACAAAGGCTTTTCCCGTTTCTGTTTGGATGTTAATGAGAAGTGGGCACTCTGCTATTCTTCCTTCTGTGGTAAGAGTCAGTTCTGAGAGGACTCCTTGTGCCTTTTTCACTTTCAGTAGGGAGATCCTTTATTTTTGTCTTACAAATATGAGGTGCAGTCGGGAGCCACTGCCTTCTGTATGCCTTCAGTGCAGTGCTGGAGTGAGTCAGAACAGCTCTGGAAATGAGAGTGCTGGTGGGTTCATACAGGTGAGCTGTTGAGATCTGAGTGCAGCAGGTAACAGTTCTACGTCAGGTGAGGAGGGGAAGCTTTGTACATTCATTACAGAAGATAGGGGAAAATAATTCTCAGAGGAACCTGCTGTAACACTTATCACAAGTGAGTAGGAAGTCTTCTGGACATTAGTGAAAACAAAGAAGGGGTCTTCGTTGAGCAGTGATGCACTGCCTGTACCCTCACCTTCGACCAGGATAGAGGAGCAAACAAGCAGTTCATGAATGTTCTTCTGTATGGAGTTGCTGTGATCTGAGCGGATGTCATAGGACTGTTTTTCTAATAGTAAACTCATGGCACAGGGGCAAGGTTTTAAACAGTTCAGTTTTGTATTGCCAGTTACACCAACAGCCTGAATGTGGGGGAGCTGCCTGCCACTTGGTCCCACTCCTTCAGGGTTCTGCTGCTTGCTGTGCTGGTGTTTCAGAAGTGCTCTGTGGGAAATGGCTGCGTGAGGACATCAGCTATGGTACTCACAGCTTGCCCTTACTTTCCCTGTAGGGTAACACCTGATATTTTGTAGGGATCTTACTTAATGTACGTTTGAAGGCAATCAGTTTCATAGATTTGAGGGTTTAGTTACTTCAGTCCATCCTCTTAGACATCTGTATATGTAATATACTGTGCCTACAATTGAAAGGTTTCTTTAAAACCACAGATACTGAGAACTTCCTAAAATGAAAGTGATCTGCAGAATCTGAGCATCTCCTGCAGGGCAGACCCAGCTGTGGCGTATCACTTGCTTCATGGTTAGCTCATGAAGATATGAGAACATGGAAAGCTTCTTAGTGTACTGAAATGTATGTTCTGCCTCAATATTGCCTTGTCTTTTGTTTACAGCATGTTTGGTGTTACACTATGGCTTGGTATGGAGCAAGGGTGCCAGACTTGATTCAGCTCTATGTGAAATCCCATGCTCGGGGTCTCTTATGTTTTCTTTGGCATTTGACACTTCTGTTTCACGTTTCTGATACCACCTGCAGTGTGGTGGGTTCCTTTGCAGGCCCATACATGCTGTGCATTTGAGCTGTCAATGCAGTAGACTTCCCTGGTAGGTCATCTCCCTGCTGAAGCTGTAATTTGTCACTGGTTCGTAGCATTTATGGGGCTTCTTGTCTGAGGTACAGCAAACACAATGAAAGCATCATACTGGAATGAACTGGAGCAAGGCTTAAAGCAATACAGAGGAAAGGCAGTCTGAATGAAACCGAGGAGGAACAGATGATACCCATGGGCAACTATTTACCCAGAGTAGAGGATGCTGTCCTGTGCAGTGGCAAGAGAGCTAGTTCCAGCATAACTGCCAAGTGCTCTGCAGGCTCCATCAGATGGGTCTGTGTTAGCTTAGCTTGATTGCGTATTTCTAGATAGCACTGCTACTTCTTGAGGCTACTTAACAGTTGTAATATTAAATAAAAGCAGATGAACACAAATTCAGGAGTCATTGACTTTTTTTTTCCTTGAGGGCTCAAGTCAGTGATGTATTAGTTTTGATTTGCAGCACACCTGAAGTGTGTTCTGTCTGTGTGGGCTGTGTTGTGTAGGGAAGGGATTCTGTAGGTCAGCAGTAGGGAGGAGGTTCTCTCAGTTTTTACGTTTAGGTTTTGATCTTCTTTTGATAGATTTGTTTGCCTCATTGTTGGTACCACTGCAAGCTCTTACTGTGAGCACTACAAAGCCAGGATAGTTTCAGGGAAACTGACTACTATGTAGCCTATGTGACATCCAGAGCTAAACTGTCAGCTCAGCACCTATTCTGCTACCTTTTGGTATCACAGGACACAAAGAAAACCTAATTATACTTATATTAGGAAGCTTTGTTAGGAGTACTGTGGTGCCTTTTTTAAATCAGTTTGAACAGTTTGTACAAATGCTTGAAGAGAAGGAAACAGATGCGCACAGTGTAGCCTTCCTACAAAGACTTTTTTCTTACAACTTAGGCCTGCTGAAATGAGATAGGAGGTACTTAAATCAATTTGTCCCTTGGCCTGGGAATGGTACTGTTCATCTGACCTGGATTTAAATGACTGTGGACTTGTTCAGGAGAAATAAGGGAAGAGCAGCATGCGTTGGTTTGTAGCGCAGTACCTTTGATATAATCCGATATTCTTCCAGTGCTCCTGAGCAGCAAGTGCTGCACTGCTGACAAAAATAGATTGGACTGTTTCTGACCTTTTATAAATGCCCTTAATACAGTAGCACAGGCTTTACTTTGAAACATATGACTTTTAATTCTGATTGTGAAGTCAAGTGAGGTAAGTAGAACTTGGATCAACTGCAAATGACTTAGCTTCTTAGCAAATCCTCTTGGAGAGCCATTCTTGTTTGCTACCTGCTTTTTGCTGAGGGTATGTAGGATGACTAAATGCTGGAATGCTATGAGGTAATGTCCCTTGCCTGTGCAGCCTCTCCCACCTCTGGTTTGCTCCCCTGCAGTCCTCTCCCTCTCTTCAGCACCAAAGATTGATGACTCTGAAAATACATTGGTTAAACTGCTTACTGTGTAAAACTGCTAATAGGTTTTGGTGTGTGCTTTCTACTGTGATTATGTGGCTTATGCTGTCTGTATGAGAACAGCAACACAAAAATGCTACTGTTTGATAGGGCTTTTGCTTTTCTTTTAGTTTTCAGTTGACCAAAGAAATGGTGATGGAGAAGCCAAGTCCCCTGCTGGTCGGGCGGGAGTTTGTGAGGCAGTACTATACTCTGCTGAACCAGGCACCTGACTATTTGCACAGGTAAAGCTCTTGCTTCACTTCATGATCAGCTTTTGTGTGGTTTCTTTAAATCGTATGCTCAAAATCAGTAAGTAAACTTATTCCCATGCCTTAGCTTCATGTTTTTGAAGGAAGTTGCATTTCATTTCGTTGTGCTTTGAGGTGGTATTCAAACAATTGTTTTGAAACCTTTCTTCTAATTTCAGGATCTGTTAAAAGACTTCTCAAACCTTTCCACTTAAGTGGACAGCTGATCTCTGTTTAGCAGAGAGAAAAGCTTAGAGCGTTGTGAACTTGAGTTCCAGATTTTATCTGCTGTCAGAATATTGTTCCATGATATTTAGCTTTGGCTTGCAATCCCTAGTTATAAAATGGGTAACTTACCTGCAGTGCTTTAAGTAAATAAACAGGCATTGCTTCTTGCCTCAAACTTGAGGCCAGAGCTTGAGGGAAGCCTCCAGTGTCCTGTGTGTTTGGGGTACTATGTTTCTTTATAGCAGTGTAAGGAGAACAGGGTGCACATCTAGTTCCTATGAGAGACTTCAGTCTTGGCTGTTATTGTTTGGGTACCTGACATATCTGAAGACTGAAGCTTATGTGGTTCTTTCTTTCCAACAGGTTTTATGGAAAGAACTCTTCCTATGTCCATGGTGGCTTGGATTCCAATGGAAAACCTGCTGATGCAGTCTATGGGCAGTCTGTAAGTATTTGGAAAAACTTACTGTCACTTACTACTTTCTTTTCTCCTTTGTGGTTCAGACACATATCCAGCTGTGATTCATCCACTTTGTCAGGTGGCTTTCTATAGAGAAACATAGTGGAAGGGATGGCATTCAGAGGGATCTCAACAGACTTGAAAGGTGGGCCCAGATGAACCTAATGAAGTTCAAGACAGCAAAGTGCAAAGTTTTGCACTTGGGCCAAAGGAATCCCAGGCATGTATATAGACTGGGGGGAATGGTCCTTGAGAGTAGCCCTGCAGAGAAGGATCTGGGGGTTCTGATGGATGGAAAAACTTGACGTGAGCCAGCAGTGAGCTCTTGCAGCTCAGAAAGCAAATGGTATCTTGGGCTCCATCAGAAGAGGGGTGGGCAGCAGGGCCAGGGAGGTGATTGTCTCTCTCCTTGTGAGGCCCCATCTGCAGTGTTTTGTCCAGGTCTGGAGCCCCCAGTGCAAGAAAGATGGAGAACTGTTAGAGGGTCCAGAGGAGGGCCACAGAGATGATCAGAGAGGTGGAACACCTCCCCTGTGAAGACAGACTGGGGGAGCTGGGCTTTTTCAGCTGGAGAAAAGGCAGCTGCGGGGTGACCTCCTTGCAGCCTTTCAGTACCTAAAGGGAGCCTATAAACAGGGGGAGAGTCAAATCTTTGGAAGGGTAGATAACAGCAGGATGGGGGAAATGGTTTTAAGTTGAAGGAGGGAAGACAGGTTGTATGTCAGGAGGAAGTTCTTTACAGAGAGAGTGGTGAGGTGCTGTGACAGCTGCCCAGAGAGGCTGTGGATGCCCCGTCCTTGGAGGTGTTCAAGGCCAGATTTGGATGGGGCCCTGGGCAGCCTGGTCTGGTATTAAATGTGGAGGTCGGTGGCCCTGCTTGTGGTAGGAGGGTTGGAGATTCATGATCCTTGAGGTTTCTTCCAACCCAGGCTGTTCTGTGAAAGGGGAGGAACAACTGCCGAATTTTACACAGCAATAGTTAATCAAGGTATGCTTCCTTTTGTTGAAGTTCAGTGTAAAATAGCTTGCAGAGCGAGCTTAGAGCTTACTGTCAAACTTTCTTGTGTAAGTTTGGGTATATAAGTGTGTTGTTTCTTCTTTCACTGGAAGCTTCGAATTTATCAGAAATGACTCTCACAGTATAACCTGTATTCTGTCCTTCATAGGATATCCACAAGAAGGTTCTGTCACTAAACTTCAAGGACTGCCACACAAAGATCCGTCACGTGGATGCCCATGCCACTCTCAATGATGGGGTTGTAGTGCAGGTGATGGGAGAGCTCTCCAATAACATGCAGCCCGTGCGCAGGTTCATGCAAACGTTTGTACTTGCACCTGAGGTATGTTATATTGAGTGACAGCATTATTGCAGTGCCTCTTCTATCATGTCAAGACTTGAGGTTTCAGTGTTGGAATCTCCAGTGTTACACTGGGGAGGTAGTTTGCCACGCAGTTGGGTAGAAGTGCTCTGCAAATTCCTAGAGAATTCATGCTACTTCTTTGTGTTCATCAATTAACCTTGGGTATCATAATTACAGATGTAAATGCCCTGACTTGTGGCTTCTTGATAGCTACAGCACTTTTTTTTCTTATGCATTCTTTAAAGTGGTTCTGTCCTTAGTTTGCCTTCCTAGCTACTTGTCCTTGTATTGGAATGAGTGGGAAGAAGAAAATGCTTTTCTGTCCCTTGAAGACAGCATTTAGATTTTCTTGTTTGGTGAAGCACTTGCATGGTGTTTTGAGGTGGCTTTCAAAATACACTATTTGAACAAAATGATGATGGGAAATGGAGGGAGGATTGCAAATTCATATTACTTTTCTGGCTTACTTGGGGCTAAGAACTAGAACCTTGAATCACAGGTTGCTCTGCTTAGTGCTCCATCAGCTATAAGAACAAAAAGCATTACATTTCCTGTTGATTCATGCATGCTTGACTTCCTAGCATATCTTTTTACCTGTGTAGTGCACTTTTTTAAAGGAGGCAGCTTTGGATTGATCTTCTGTATTTGTGGGGGAAGGGTGACTTGCTTCAGCTGTTTGTGTTTTGTTACTTTACTTTTTGATATTGCATTTCATGTAATTGAATTATTTCTCCTCTTTTTCTTCTAGGGCTCTGTTGCAAACAAATTCTACGTCCACAATGATATCTTCCGCTACCAAGATGAGGTGTTTGGGGACTCTGACACTGAGCCTCCTGAAGGTGGGCACCAGCAGACTTGGTGTGATTCTGTTGGTGTTTGTCCCTGGGTCTGCTACGTGCTTTGTTTCCAGACTACAGGAAGTCTCTTTCTGCAGCATTAATCTTTATGATGTTCTGAGTCTTTTCCTTGCCTGTAGTTTTATTGTTTCAACACTGTAGTTTTCTGGTATAGTCTCTTTCTATTGAAAGAACTGCAAGGCCTTTTTTGGGCAGTAGCAATCAGATTTGTAGGCAACAATTGTTTTCTGAAGTATTTAGAAAATGTTATTTGATGTCAGACAAAAGCAAGAACTCAAGTGGAAGCGTAACTATAAGGAAATGTCTGCTTAGCACTGTGTTTTGGTAGTGTTTCCTTGTGCTCCTTGCAGAGACTTCAAATGTGTGTTGGTGGGAGATGAGTTGGAATTGAGTACTAAAGCAGTGTGTGGTGTTTCTTCTTACTTCAATTAGAATCGGAGGAAGAAGGGGAGGAACCTGAGGAAAGACAACAAACACCTGAGGCTGTTCCTGATGATACTGGTGCTTATTATGAGCAGACTGTCAGGTAATAACTTTGTTAGATGGTAATATTGACTACTTAGAGAACAAGTCATATGAACTTGCTGCTACATGTGATTTTTTTTCCCTTTTGACAGTTGAAAGACAACTGAAACTTAAATGCTGTTACGCTTAGTGCAGAGACTCCAGATTATCAGAAGATGTAATGCTTTGGTCTGTAGTGTAATAATGTGAAGCTTGCGTACTTCTACAGTGTAGTTTTATTTAGATTACCTTTGTTCTTCCTCTTTAATGAAAAGTGGTTGGCTTCTTTGTTAAACAGGTAGCATTCCTTACTACTCAGTAATCTAATCAGATGCAGTAAATACCATCCTTATTTTCTTGTGCTAATAGCAATGACATTGAAGAGCACCTGGAAGAGACAACTGCAGAAGCAGAGCCTGAGCCAGAGCCAGAACCTGAACAGGAACCTGAGCCAGAGGTGCAGGAAGAAAAATCTGAGCCAGTATTGGAGGAATCGGCTCCAGAAGAAACTGTGGAGAAGAGTCCTTCTCCAGCTCCTGCTGATCCAGCTCCTGCTGTGCAAGAGGACTCCAGGGTAATAACCATGTGTGACTCTTCATGTTCTTTCGTCAGGAAGTTTGACGTGCTGCTTTCTGGTGAGGGAAGTATCTGGAATTAGATAAGTGTTTAAATGCTCTGTAATTCTTTCCTGAGTCCAGATACTTCTTTTCATGAGCAGTTGCCTTTTTCTCATTGGCTTTTATACAACAGTAGATAGTTGAATTTCTGCATAGTAACTACTTGTCTAAATTCCTATGATCTAAAGGAAAACTTTGTAAACTTGGGGTTTCGGAACTTTTGTAACAGTGAGAGGCTCGATTTCTTTGGTTCTTAGTTCATAAACAGAGCTTCTGACATTATTTACAGACTGTAGCCAAGATGCAGAATCAGGAAAGTGGTTGAGATTAATTCCTAGCTGTTTCTTTTTTTTGTTGCTCTGTAGTGTCAAAGGAGTCAAAAGTTGATAAATGAGTACTCCATAGAGCAATGCTTTGATTAACTTTATTGTGGTACTTGGTGCTAGGCTGTTGCTGTCTCAAATTTCAGTTCTACTTGCGTGCCAGAAACAGGTTAGAAGTGGAGTTCAGTCATTGTAATAATATGTCTTCTGAATTGGGATGATTTGAAGGGGATTTGGGCAAACTGCTGATAGTTGAATCCATAATGTCACGGATTACTTAAACTTTGACACTGCTAACAGACATGGTAACATCAGGAGTATGGAGTTGAGTGTAATCTCTATTTCTTCAGGCATTTTCTTGGGCATCAGTAACCAGTAAGAACCTCCCTCCCAGTGGAGCTGTTCCAGTGTCGGGGATACCGCCTCATGTTGTGAAAGTACCAGTCTCACAGGTAGGAATTAAGCATCTAAAGCTGTTTCACTGCTAAACTGGCTGGCAAGAAGCTGAGATGGGAAAGAAGTAGTGAAATCAGTGTGATGAACTGAATTCTTAGGCACTGAGGACTGTCTAATTCAGTATTCCATGGTGGATGTCATAAATGCTGTTCCTTGGTTTTTGGACTGAGTAATTCTCATGGAGAAAAGAGGTTATGACTGCTGATTGTATCTGCAGTCTAAAAGAAATGTACTTAAGAGGAGAAGCAGTTTCTCTGACCTTCTTCCTTTGCTTATTGAGGAACAAGGTTTTGTCATGAAATGAGTGTATTGTGATACAGCCATCCTTCAGGTGGTCACTTCTTGTGCAGTTGTGCATGGAATGACATAGGGAACTTTAGACTGTGGCACTCGCTATCAAATCAATGTGTTTAGTCACAGGTGAGAAGAATGGAATTCAGGCTTTTGACTTAATTTTCAAGAGAACTGGTAAAATTACTTGATAGTGAGCTCTTAAATGCACTGCTGTTTTATGTTTGCATGATAATTGTCTTTGAATTCATACAGCCACGTCCTGAGGCCAAGCCTGAATCTCAGACTCCACCACAGAGACCTCAGAGGGATCAGAGAGTGAGGGAGCAGCGAACGAGCATCCCGCCTCAGAGGGGTCCTAGGCCAAGTAAGAAAAGCCACAGAGTGTGAAACTTTTCTGCTCTTTGATTTGGTGGTTTTGGGGAATTGGTAAACAGGAGTGTTGAGAGTCTCACTAACACTGAGGTTTTTCTGCTTATCTGGATATTGAATGGCATTCTCTGAAGTATCCAGGTTTTTATTTGCTATTTGCTTTCAGTCAGATGACAGAAAGCAAGCTTTTAGAAAATTCCTGGAGTAGGGTATGTATAAATGGGTATAAATTCCTATGTGTAGATGGGTATGCAGTCTGGATGCTCATTCTAACTGTGATGCTGTTCTTGTTTGTCTGTGGAACTGTCTTGTCTTAAACTTTACTCTTATGTTCAAGTTCGTGAGGGTGAACAAGGTGATGTGGAAACAAGGCGGATTGTGAGGTACCCAGACAGTCACCAGCTCTTTGTTGGGAACCTTCCCCACGATGTGGATAAAAGTGAGCTAAAAGACTTTTTCCAAAGTAAGTTGGTAGTTCTACTCCTCAGGCTTTGGGGTTGCAGCCATTGGTGTGGCCAACAGAACATTCTAATGTATGACCCAAGAACTTGGCTCTTCTCTTGCAGGCTATGGCAATGTTGTTGAACTGCGCATCAACAGTGGTGGAAAGCTCCCCAATTTTGGGTTTGTGGTGTTTGATGATCCTGAACCAGTTCAGAAGATCCTTAGCAACAGGGTAAATAAACTTTCAGTCAGGCTTCTTGCTCTGTTAATAACAGGCAGTGTTTTCCAGGTGCTTCTGATACAAAAAGGTAGAGTCCTGATCCTCTGAACAAGTAAGATCTTTCCTTATTGAGTTGTTAACAAAAGGGGTTGAGAGGGAGAAACTATACTAGTATTCAAGCTGAGAAGGGTTCCTTGTAACAAAGGAAAAGTACCTGCTTAGTTTATCAGCAGTGATTGTTCATGGAAGATGCACACTTCATGAGTGTGTGTGTGGGATGATGGTAGGCAGTGAATCTGGATGCACCTCAACTGTGCCATTACAGTGTGTTTTCTCAGTGGAATCCTTTCTTTTCTTTAATACTGTATGACAGTATTACTCCTGTATTTCTGACCTTAAATTGAAATCCTGTATTTCTGACCTTAAATTGAAAGGTAGGTTATCATAGAATGGCTTAGATTGGGAGAAACCTTAAAGATCTAGTTCCATACCTCTTGCTGTGGATGGTGTTGCCAGCTACTGCATCAGGGCCCCTTTCAATGTGGCCTTGAATGTTTCCGGGGATTGGGCTTCAGCTTCCCTAGGCAGACTTTTTTTCCTTGAGGTGCAGTTTGAGATTAGGATATTTTGTGTGGTTAGGCACCTTTAGCTGTAGAGTGTCAGCAGCATTTCTAACAAAGTTTGAGTTAGTGTTATTGAGCTTCATGTAATTATAGAAGCTCTTAAAGGGAGCTGGTAATTTAAGATCTTAGTGCTGATAGAGTTGCTTCCTTTAAACGCTTTCATTTTTGCAGACAGAGCAGTTCCAGTGTGGTCTAGGGTAAAGTTTGAAATGGGTGACTTGAAACCATTGCTAAAAGTAGGTTGAGTTGATCTGACTTTGACCCTAATTGGTTTGGGAGCAAGTAGTTCAGTGGCAGTGAGTCCTTAAGAAGTTATCCACAGCTAGTGTGCAAACATCACCTTTAGTAGTGATTTAAACTTGCCTGTTTGTGTTCTTGGATTGAAACCAGAGAAATCCACTTCTGTGCCCTTTTGCAGTGGGAGAGGTAGCTTAAGGGCTGAGTGCTGGGCTTTGTGCATAGAGTGTACAATACCAGAGGTGTGCTCAGCTGGGGAATTTGTGGCCTTTGTGTACTTGTTCTAACTGTTCCACTCTAGCTGGAGCCAGAGAACAAAGTGGATGCTGAATTCTTAGATGTGGGATGTGTAATAGGCTTTCAGAGTTGGTTCATTCAGAGCATCTTTCATGCAGGCTTGTGTAAATGCTTAAGTTACAATGGATGGACATGCTATTCTAAGACTTGATTTTTCTAAATACATCTTTAAACCTTTGAAAGTGATTTTTACACATCTCCTACCTTGCTTGAAGAGCACTAAATTCTATTGCATTGCAAGGAGACCCAGTGCTTCGGGCAAAAATGTGTTCCTAAAACAGACCAAAGTGGAAGATTTCACACTGCTATGCAGGCCAGTGATAGAGAGGATCTGTCATTCTTCATGTCATAGGATTAAGCCATCTGGGACTCTGGTGACAGACTGAATTGGTGTGTATTAATGAGATCAGGGTACTGCTAATAGGTCAGCTCTTTTTGTAAGAGGTATTGGAACGCTCATCTCTTATATCATGTTTTCAAAAGTATCACTTCTCCACATCTCCAGCCACTTTTCATCTGTGGTCAAGCATGAGACCGGTTGTATAGTTTGACCACAGTTACATTCTAATCACAAGTTGTAAATGCTTTTCTTTCCTTGGATGGAAAGAAGAGGATGAGAGAAAGTCGCAGAAATCTGCTTGACTTCTGGAGGCTTCCAGATGAATTCTGAACGAAAATATTTTCTCTTCTGTTCCAGCCCATCATGTTCAGGGGAGAGGTGCGCTTGAACGTGGAGGAGAAGAAAACACGAGCTGCCAGGGAGGGTGACCGCAGAGATAACAGACCACGCGGACCTGGAGGCACTCGCGGGGGGCTGGGAGGTGGGATTCGAGGGCCTCCACGTGGAGGAATGTCCCAGAAGCCAGGATTTGGAGCTGGAAGGGGGATCGGGCAACGCCAGTGAATGCATCGTGGATGTTGACGTGGTGGTGCAACCCCTTTTTACCTGCAGATTTGTGAATTTCAGCCTTGGGTATCTTGGAATGTGGCCCTAGCCTGTTATAGACTGCTACGTTTGATACTATTTTGGCCCCTTTTTTGTTTGTGTTATGGTTTTGTGATTTTTTTTCTAGTCCTTGTCCCAGATTCCAGCTTTGTGGAACAACGCTTTAGGAAAAGTGGATTTTAAAAAGAAAAGAACTGAATTTCCTTGCTCACCTCAAACTTACGGACTGGATTTTTTTGGTACCAGTGGTCTTTCCTAGAAGAATGTCTTTTTGTTTTTTTCTTTTTTCCTCCCCTCTCTACTGAATTTGGGTGCATTTCAGTCAGTGGAATAATATTTCACATGCATGCGTTCAAGAGCCTATAGGAAAACATAGTACTTGGCAAGTATTTCAAGGGCAGGAAAATAAAACTTTGATTTATCCCTTGAGGGTCATACGAACATCATCTGATCTGGAGATATTGCCACCCGAAAATTGACGTTCACCTTTCTCTTTGTGGCGCTGTAAAAGTGGAATAATGAGTATCCATAGAATCTCTTTTTTTCTTTTTTCTTTTGATACGTGATCACGGAAAAGAATTATAACTGCTGTTTTACCACTTTGAAATTTTGGATTGTGGGATAGGTTTTAAATGTCTAGAACTTGACTCTCAAAACACTTTTCCTGAACTTGTGGAATTTTTTTATTGAACTAGGGAGGTTTTTTCATGTTTAGTTTGTATTTGTATAAAAAAAAAAAAGCAAAATTGTTGTGCCTTCTATTTATCTCTCATTCCAGTCTTGGCAAATTGTTTAAAAAAAAAAAAAATAATAAAAATAAAAAAGGTCTAGATTTGCTTTATCAAGTCAAGAGTACGCTGGAGTTCTTCCAAGAGGAAGATGTACTTTCTTCTGTCGGTAGGCTTGCTAGGTAGAGGTGGTTATAGCTCAAGTCTTTAATACTGTCTGTTCTTCATCAGTTTGGCATTTCAATAATCAAAAACAAGGATTTTGTGGATGCAGAATTCAAAACATTTGGCTTTTGAAGCTGGGCAGTTCTCATTACTGATGCTGTACTTCTGTCACATTCTTTAAGTTTCTCTCTACTGTGATGGTTTTGCCATTTAGGCAAATTCCCTGCTTCTGCCAGACCTGATAGATGGCATAAGCATAGGAGGTGCCTCTCTGTCCTGAAATTATTACATTGAACACTCTCCAGTACTCCTAAAGAAGCTGAAACTGATGAAACAAATTTCAATTATGGGGATTTTAAGATCATATTACACAAAACAGCATTATATTTCTGTGTAAATATCTGGGTAGGAATGGCAGTCTTGTGTTTACGCCAGACCTCAGAGTTCTTGGTTATATGGAAGAACTGTGTAGTAAGCTTCTTTATCTGTGCTAGGGTTTACTGTTTCCATGTTTTCTTGGTTTATTAATATAACTTCTGTGCTTTGTTTGCTCTAAAGCTGGAGCAAAACTGCCCTAACTGCAAGGGGTGAGTAGGTATTACCTGTTACAGAGCAGTAACTTACTGTCACTTACTTGCCAAACGTAGTGATTGAACCTGGTTGTACTGAATGTCAGTAGAGTGTTGGGTTTTGTTCTGTTTTGGCTTCATCTTTAGTGTTGCATCATTTCCCTCCTTATGGATGTTTCTCAGATTTCCTGATGGAATGGAGGAGAGCTGAAGTGCAACAGCAATAGCTGTGGCTGTGTGTGCCCTCCCACAGCCAGCAGTGCTACAAATGCATACTGCTTCCTCTTGTGGTGGTAACTGGTATTTATTTTTTCTTTGGGGGGAAAAAACAGCTCTTCTCATTAGGAATGACCATCGAGTGAAGGTGTGCAACAGAACTGTTTCACTGAACTGTCCTTGTTTGTGTGTTTTGTTTGTTTTTTTTTTTTTAATTCTCATATGTTGTTTCTGGTGTTCTTGATGTTAAATCCAGGACTGCAGTAACAGGTTGCACTTCCCAACTGCGGAGGTGCTGTTAATAAAAGTTTCTATTGCTCTTCAAATCTGTGAAAGCATCCATAAACGTGAAAAACCCCCAACTTTTCTGTAGTGAAGTCAGACAATTCTGGCTCACTTTCATCTGAGTTGAGAAATGACTGAGGAATGTCAGTGAAGAACTGAAGTATGTAAAGTGAAGTGTATCTTGGTTTTGTATTAATCATACTCTGTGTTAAACAGTGAGACCCAGAGAGTGATCTTGTCAGAGAAGATGACAGGTAAAATAAAATATTTACAGAAACCTTTTTCTCGGGGGTATCTTGTGCAGAAACACTTCTCAGAAGCAAGTTATGCTGAGAGCATCTCAAAACATGGAGTGACGCTTCAGGATGTCTGATTGTGGTTGTGGTTCTGTGCTTAGCAAATAACCAACCATGCTGAAAGGACCTGTAAAGCTTCACACTGGCTTTTTCTGTTTAATGCTCAGCAGCTGTGTGCTCTGCTGGTTTATGCAATGACTGTGCTGTTAAAACCTCTATCATCTGAAGTCTTCAATGCGTTGTGCGTTTTAATGGTGAAGCTGTGATTTGGTTGTCTTTGACTGCAAACAGGCTGGAGTACCTACAGCAAAGATGATGTCTGATGTTTGAAGTCCACAAACTCTTCTGGGGCAGAAAAGGCCGCAAGGAGATGTCGAGTGAGCAGAACTGCCATGTTCCCTGCTAGCACCTCTGCTTTAGTCTGAATGGTGAATCTTGGGTTCTTTGAAGTATTGATGTCCATGTGCTGCAGAATAGAAATGGTAGTGAAGGTTGGTCAGTCTGTTAAGGCTGCTCTCACCTTCTACAGTAACATGCATAGTACGAGGCCGACCTCACCACCCTTACCTTAACTCTGATGATCTGGGGGTACAGTGCTTCTATATATGCCTGGTGAGATCTCTACCCTGGTCTCTTCTGACTGATCTTTATAGCATAGGGTAGGATGTGTAGAAATAAGTTTCTTTACCAGAGTAAGAAAGAGGTTGTGTGCTGGCACACTGCTTCCAGCAAGCTCCAACATGAGTCTGGAGGAGAAACCTCAGTATTTCTCAGCAGTAGCAGGGATATCCTGCACATGTGGGAGCCTGAGTTCCTTGGGGAAGAGGATGATTCTCAGTGCAAGCGTGAAGACTCTGAGTTGATCCCAGCAGTTTCTGATTCTGCGTCTGCCAATCTTTCCAGTCAAACTGTATTTTTAGTTCTTTACGTGCTGCCTGGGGCTAGGAGCAAATGACACGCTGGCAATTTCCCTAATTACTTCCTGCTAAAGCACGCACAAACGATCTCCGTGATTATTTCATTTCCATGCGGTACCATTCTCCCCTTGGCTGGTAATGTGGAAGAACGACTCTCAAGATCCTGATAATCTTGTTTGCATGTTGTGTGGGAGGTGGGTTAAAGGCTGTGTGAGTGGCAAGGTATTAATAGCTTATCTTGGGAGACAGAAGGCAATCTGAATGCTTCTAAACTCCATTTCTTAAAGGTAACAGACTATGAGCTATTGATGTATTTTCGGAGTTGAAGGGCAGAATGTTGCCCTTCTGTTTTCCATCACAGAATTCCACTTGTCATGCCAGGTGGGATCTGCTGCTGCACTGATGCATTCAGACACTATGGAACCACATGACTGAAGGAAAAACAATCTTGTCTCTCTTGATTTGGTGTCAGTGATGGTCTGTTCACATCCCCAAATATTCCTCTGGCTGTCTGCGCTGTGGTAGGTTTATTTCCCAAGGGATTTTTGCTGCGCAGTAGTTGCAAAAAGGCGCGTGGAAATCTCCCCTCTTTCTTTTCTGTGACCCCAGGCCTTGAGAGCTGAGTTTGTTGACAGGACCTGCTGCAGCTTGTGTGAGAATTTAAGGCCTAGTTGAGCTCTGTATGAGACTCACTTTAAAATCCAGGATACTGTGAAGGTAGGTCTAGAAGGTCTTTTCCAACCTGAGCAATTCTGTGATAAGCACCAGAACTTGCTGTTTGTGTGACTGTCTCTGCTGTTGGAAAGAGCAGAGCAGCGTGTTTCATACAGATTGGAGATGTGACAGGTTTGTCTTCACAACACTTGTGCACAACCCTTTGCTGCCCAGTCTCCCTTTGGTCCTGCAGGAATTGCTGTGTGGGGTGGAGCTCAGAAGGTCACAGGTGGGGGAGATGATTCAGAATGAAGGGTTTAACAGTAATACTGGTCTTCTGCCTTGCTTTCATTGCATGTTATGTTAGCACAGGCAGATGCTGTATTGACACAGCTGGACCAGCATGGGCTGTAGCCTGGGAGCTCTGGCATTAGATGCCTATGGAGAGAACTCCAGTAAAAATCTTTTAAATTGAAATCTTTGTACGTATGGTTCAATAACTGTATACCTGGAAATTGCTGAAACGCTTTCTATTCTAAAACTACTTATAAGCCAGAGGAAATACCTGCATAATATCACTGTATCTGGGTGTCTGTGCACTTTGTGTGAGGTGGAGGTTCATTGCAGCACAGTTTTACAACGCTGCTCATAAGGAAGCAGCTGCTTTGTGCTCTGACCTGTGTAGCAGAATGTCCTTAAATGGAGTGCAGTGCCTGCCAGCCTTGTGCGCGTCGATGGACTGCATTCATAGGGAAAAGGAAGGTTTATTTTTAAGGTGGGTAAGGAAAAGACATATAAGTGCTTTGTGTTAAGCTCTTAATCTCTTCAGAAGAATTGTGTTGTCTTAAGATTTTTTTTTCTATATTTCCCCCACCCCTCTGAGGGGAAAGTAATGTAAAAACTGCCTTCTCCAGTATAACTTTTGGAAGCTGTTGGTAGTGATCATACTTGGAGAACATCAGATCTGCCTGCTTTTCCTTATTCTGTGATTACCTAAACTCTTGAGTGATTAATTCTGACTGAATGCTTTTCTGTCCACCCCTTGTGAGATGCTGATGGTGTTTTAGCATTCACCTTGTAAGGAAGCGGCCTGAAACAAGTGAATGTGAGCTATTTCTCCCTCTGTTTTGTAGAAGTTGATTTAGTGGGAGTTCAATTTGGTTCTCTTAGCAGCGGCAGTGCCTCTTTTTCCCTGTGCTTATGAGTGAATGAACACAGAGTGGTTTTAATGCCACTGCTTCTGAGGCTTCAGTGTGATTGAGGAGCGAGGAGTCCAGCCTCACTGCCCATCCTTTCTGCATGGTGGGCAAAGACACCTGAATCCTGAGCTTAAACAGACTGCAAATGAAGCTCAAATCTGCATTTAGTGTTTACAGCAGGCATTGATCGGTGGGCTCTGATGGGTGGGAATGTCAAGGGCACTGTAACCCACAGGTGTCTGCCTGGCCCCTCTGCAGGAAGGTGCATTCCGCGCCTCTGCTCTCCATCTGTGTTGACAAACCTCAAGTTTTCATGCTGAGCTCCAGCAGAGTGGAGAGATGGTGAACCCTTCTGGCCTAGGGATGGAGTTGCTAGTAACCTCTCACACTGCAGCTGCCAAATGCAGCCCAGCTCATTTGTCAGATGTGCCCAGAGCCCTGGACTGTCCCTGGTATAAACAGTATCAAGGCTCTGTTGTGTTTGGGAACAAATGAGCTTTAGTAAGTCAAGCAAGCTTTTGAAACAAAGGTTTTCTTCATGCAAATGGCTTACAGATGGGAGAGATACAGAAAATAGGACAAAATGCATCTGCTTCATTGGCTTCCTTTGTTGTGAAGTTTGGGGGAGGTATCCTTCAGAGATAGGAGGTTCTGTGCTGGTGAGGCAGATACTTCTGGGAAACTGAGATGCGTTTATAAAGGACACAATGAAACACACTGCGCTGAACTGTTCCCACTTCTATTTATTTTGTATGTTTTCAGTTAGAAAGTATTCCCGCTGTGTTTGTATTTCCCTTCCAAAGTAAATCAAATGTGCAATGGCTGTCTCGAACAGAAACATCTTAAGATTTTTATTTTTTTCTGCTGAAGATAAATTCATTTACAAAACAATGTAAATGGGTGTGCGTTTGTAGGTCGGAAAGGAGAAGTTCCCGGGTTCCTCCCCTCCTTTTTTTTTTTTTTCTTAATATCGCTTATGCATCAATTTTTCATTACTCTTCATCTCAGTTTTAATATAATAAGCATGATAGGCTGTACATCGTGGTCAATGTGAGGAGACAACACAGTCCAGAGGGTGTCACTGCCAACGATCGGCTGTGGCTGCTGTTATCTCAGGTGGGTGCTTGCAAGCAGCTGCTTGGGCCAGCTTTGTGCATCTGTCAGGTTGCAAAGGCTGCTTCCAGAATGGCGCTCACCGATGCTGCAGGGATGGTCAACTGCAATGAGATGTGCTGTGTGACCTTTGCATTTGTCAGGCCATTTTTGGTGAAGTCCTCAGTGTCTGCTTCAGCTCCAGATGGCTCAGTGAATGTCTTTATTTCACTGAAGTTTTACTGTCACTCTAAAGCACGTGTGAATGGCTTTTAGCACAGTGGCCTTCGAAGTTCTGTTGAGAAAGTCATCTCTTTCCTGCAGCTCAGTAAGCCCATGAAAGAGGAGGTGAGCTCTAGCTGTGATCACTGCTGTCAATGCCCAATCCAGGCTCAGGAAACACAAGCTTTGATCTTTTGCTTCTGAATTCCATTTCACAGCAGGGATGAGATGCTCCAAGCAGTGCATTTCAGGATCACTTACTCCACATGTGTGCTGAGTTATGTCACCTGGGCCGGTCTGTCAGCTCTGCAGGTGGCTGTCTGCTGCCTTCCTGCCTCAGTCACTGAGCTCTACTGCACGGTGCTGCTGAGCAGCAGGAAGGGCTCACAGGAAGAGTTCAAGCCCAATGGATCACTGTTCCCCCTCAGGGAGAAGGTGGATTTCATACCTGCTGTTCAGATTCTTACAGAATGTTATTTACACTTCTTTTTTTTTTTAATTTGGAAAAAAGGGGCCCTTCCAAAGCTGACAGATCCCTGTGTTCACCTGCTCATCTAAGGAGGGATGTATCGACTAAGGATTTGAAATACATGTGCCTTTCATCTGCCCTGCTTAGTAATGCAGCTCAGTGCTGGAGGGGGGCCATTGCCCTGGGGTGTGAGTGCTCTGAGTTGGCTAACAGGGATTTGTCAGCTTGGTCTATGCTGTTCCCATCTTCTTTTCCCTGCTTACCTCTGATCTAACCTTGGCATTAGAAGAACACAAGTGTTTTGGACAGAAACGTACTTGGGTTTGGGAATAGCAGGAGAGAAAGGAAGCAGTGCAAGTTCAATGTAGGCAAAGGCAGAAGAGAGTGTCTCAAAGCCCTTGTTTGGTTGTTTCCCAGCCTAGGTGTGC